CAGCATGCTGCTGTGGAGATGCTATACTGGTATTGCTGTGGAGAGAGGGAGACTGATTATGAGGGGAGGGCTGCCTGTAGCCTTGCCTCCTGCTCATGGGGGTGGGTCTCACGTCTGGGCTCTGAGGCACTGCCACAGCAGCCATAGGAGTAAGTCAATTTCTGCCTTTTCTCATATGTAATTCACAGTGAGGAGTGCCCAAACTTTACCAGAATCTGGATCCTGGTGCCAAGTTGCTGAAAGTCTCCAGGCTGTGCCTGCTTTCGTTTTCAGTGAATTGTAGCTGGCCCTCATCCAGTGCAAAGGTGGAGCCCATGGAGGTTTCACATTCCAGTATTTAGTGCTGTCTGCAAGGCTCTTCAGGTGATGATGCCGTAACAAAGAGGAGGGTGGTGTATGCCATTTTTTGGTTCTGGGAGTGTGGGACTGCCAGCCTCTGGTTTGGAACTTATATCCTAAGAGACCAGGCAAAATTCTTGAACGCTTCATGGTTTCCTCCTCCTTGTGATGCAGTCCTTATAGAAAACACTGTACGATTCAACATGGAGAAATGTTACAGAAATGAAATTGGGTCATAGAGAAATGATACCCCAAACCATGTAGTATGCAACAGAGAATGGAATCTGTCCTGTAGTGTGTTATCCATTCCCAAGGAGGGACTACAAGCTCACTCTGTGGGATGGAGGGCCCTCACCTAGGGAGGGTAGCCTATAGCAAGCAAATCCTAGCTCATGAGACCTTTCCAGGTTGGGCAGCTTAGTCTGATGTAAGTGAGGGATTTTGCAGCTCAGGAGGATGCCATTCTGGGAAGATATCATGGTGATGTATGGTATGCAAATTTAAGCAGAGGAAGTTGGGCTGGATCCTGGCCTGAATCAGCGGTGCCCCTGTTACTCTGCTAAGAAGCTCACTGCTGGTTGGGGATGGACCAGAGCATGGCATGGGCACGTAGGCCCTGATTCCTGGTTACCTTGCTTCTCCATTTGAAACTGAGTTGGAGACCTGGGAAAAGATGACTTTAAGCCACCTTTGTACACTGCATGTTCTGGAGCAACGGGGATCGTAGGCCAGCCCCTCATGTCAGAGCATCCTCTAAACTGCTGTAGATGTTCCTCCATTTCCCAGGTCTCCTTCTGAGCTCTGGAAAGCAGAGAATAGTTGCATTGTGGTGACCTCCAGCCACGACCCTTTCCCATCCCATCTGGTCTATTTCCTTGCACCCTTGGTCCAATACAGGCTTGTACTGCATCCCTGGGACTGGAAGCCATGGTGACTTGGAGCTTTCTGCATGTCCTTTCACAGCATCTGATGAAACAAACTTGGGTCCATGAAAGCTTGTATGTTCACTCGTGTGCACGCTTTCTCTCTCTCTCTCTCTCTCACTCTTTCCTTGTAGTTAGTCTTTAAAGATGCTTATGTACCCTGCCTTCTTCTTGGAGCCATTATGCTAGCTGGGGTCCCACACTGATAAGGGGGCATTTTTCATGGGCTTTCTCAGCAAACCACTTCCACTTCACTGGGCTCTTTTATGGCCGCTGAACTGCACTGTGAAGCTGTGGCGTGCTATTGTTCCTACCAGAACGGGGTTTACAGGATGCTGCTGGCCTGCAAATATAAACTTGATCACTTGTTATCCCTTTCTGCAGGAGCCAGCATTAGAAGGAAGTTGTGCCATCATATCTCCCACTGCTGCTGGGTGAGGCTCCCCTCCTCCTCCCCCCCCACTCTTCTGTCCTCACACACACTATATACAGCAGGGTATGGTTTGAAACTAGGTGCTTAGTTAAAGAGGGAAGGTTTAATGGAGATGTGTAGCACTGGGTTTTTCACAGAGGGGCAGAAGTAATTTCTGGACAGAGTGCTTGACTCTCTTTGCCCTGTTTCAGTTGTCTCCTTTTCCATATTCAGTGAAGGATGAGAGCAAGGTGAGGAAGAGACAAATCCCCATGGAGATCTGAAAGGTCTCATTTTGGGGTCCACATTTAATTAGTGTTAAGTTAGTGCCTGGCATATTTAATTTTTTCCTTGGTCACCAACTTCAGATAATAGCACTGGGCTTGCACTATATCAAATGCTATATAGTCATAAACTATCTTTGTAGCTGTTCAAATGCTTCTGTGGTTTAAAGCTTTTTTGCAGAGTTTTAAGACTCCCTGTGCTGAGGTGATAAGTGGCATGATGCATTTTTCTAAACATATCCCAGATCCAGGCCTGCTAGTGATATTTCCATTTTACAAATAGGGAGCAGATGTGAAGAGGTTATAGTTGGGTTTTCAGCAGTACCAAGCACCTGCCATTGCCCCTCATTGGTCTAAATTCCTGGAGACATAAGTGATTTGTCAAAGGCTAAGCAACAAGTTACTGGTAAATTTAAACCCCAAGAATGTCTAATCCTCAAATTGTTTAGTTTGTATGTGGCAAGCACAGGATGTGAAGTCTGCCACGTGCCTGCAATTTAGTGTCTCTGCCAAACATTTGGCTGATGGGGAGGATCTACGGGCTCTTAAGATCTCCAGAATTTATTTTCTAACTTTTATGAGCTGGGGAGAAGATGGAGAATCATCACTGACTCTGGACATGAATCTCCTTATCACTGCTATTTGCTAAGTTTAAGCTTTGCCTGATGTTGCCTTTTATGGCCTGGGAGCTATTTAATTACTGTGGTGCTGTTCCTCAGAAAATGTCGTTATCCATTCCATGTAGCTTCAGGGCAGGTTCTGCACAAGTATCTCTAGGACTGGCTTTCTCTGCTGTTTAATTCAGTCTGACTGGGCAAGTAGAGGCAAGTGTGTCTGGCAAAGAGTATGACTTGATGAGCATGTACAAGCCCTCTGAATGCATGTGCATATGTTTTTGTAGCCTGGGTATGCATGCTTGTGCTTGTATTTGGATTGGCAGACAAAATCCAACTGGGTAAGGTAAGATCTCTCAACAAGGGCTTGAGAACTAAACTGTAGGTGCCGCCACCCAGGGTAAGGGATTACCCCGCACTTATGTGCAGTGAGGGCTGTTCTCAGCAGAGCTCAGCTCCTGCTCTCCCACTCATTGCCATGTTATCTGGCCCTGAATGATTGTTTTAATCCCACAGGTTGCTCCAGGGACTGTCCAACAATGATACAACTTAAACATGTATTCTCCCCTGGTTGTGAAGCTGAATTAAGCCAGGATCCAAAGATGCTCTTCTCGCTGGGGCTCTCTGTTGGTTGAGATAGTCACATAACTATAGGAGGACCTAAACACAGGGCTTTCTTTCCCTATATATCTTAGACATTTCTTCAGTGGTCATCTTGATTGTTGCTGAGGGCAGCCTCAAGAAAGGGGGAACATCTTTGAAGCGTTTCATTTTAAAGTATTTCCTGAAACATCTGTACATTCCAGCAGTCCTCCAGTGTTCCACAATGCTCTGCTCCCCAATCCCCTCCTTGCCTGTGTCCTTGGGTACCTCTGAAGACCAAGAGACGTGAAGTGATTCCCACTTTCCAGCCCCTTGGCTAGACGGCACAGCCACTGCATTGCTTTGCAGCCAGTTTGAAGTGCTTGGTGGGAGTAAGGATTTTGAAGGACTCTGGGATTTGAAACACTCCAAATATGTCTGTTCCTACCTTCCTAGTTTGTAATGTAATGGGGACACATCTAACCTAGATAGGTCTACCAGCAACCCTTCCTAATGTGGATGCAACTTATACCAGGCCAAAAAGTGTTTTTGCTGATATGACTTACAACAGTTTGAGCAAAATAAGCTGTTACTGCAGAGGCACCTTTATCCTGGTCTAATTGTGCCTTTGCTAAGGCTTTGGCCAGTAAAGAAATGTCACAAAAAAACCTGATACTGACTTTACTATGTGCTGGAAAAAGTATCTAGTATAGATCTATCCTAATATGTACAAGACCTTGAGGGAGGTAGGGAGGTGCATACGTTGTACACATAGGAAACTGAGTAGATCAAGTGACTTGCTCTAGATTTTCAAGGAAATCAGTGGCAGGTAATTGGAGAAGGGTCTCTTCAATCCCTGTTTTGTGATTCAGCCCTCAAACCGTCTTAACACGAGCAGCATGCAGCACTGGGACCTTGAATGGTCAATTAACCTGCTGTCCCTCAGTTCCTGTCTGTGAAACAAAGATGCTGCTGCTGCTTTTTTCAACCATGTCTACTTAAGTCTGCAAGCTCTTTATGGCAAGGGCTGCCTCTGACTATGTGCAGGTACATCACCGAGAAGAACTGCCTCTTAACCAGGGCACTGTGGCACCCAGAGGTGTCACAAGATCTTTTTAATAGTGCTGCTCAATATTAGTATTGTTAGGTGTGCAGGCCCCTTGCACATGATTCACAAGATAAATCCAGAGATTTCAAACAAGGATCCATAATATCCAAAATGCTCTGACTCGTTGTGGTCTTGCTGAGTTCTCTGTGACAGAAGAATTGCTCTATTTTTCAGTAGTCAAGAAACAAGTGAAGGCTAAGAGCTGGCATTTTCGGAGGGGTGCCTTGAGTCTAACAAGGAGTGACTTGAAGTCTAAAAGGTAGAGAGCCACTAGTACAGCTATTGTAATGCAATAATTCCTTATCTCAAGACCTGCCTTTGTTGTGTGAATAAGCGCCATCACCCCCTCTTCCCCTTTAGTGGTAGAATGGATTTTTATTGCTGTTCATTGGGAAAACTGTTGGACTAAGTAATCTGTAGTGTAGCAGTGCTTTTAGCCAGAGGGGCCTCCACCACCAGCCATTTTTTCAATCAATGAAGCAAAACGTTTTCTATTAGGAAGCTCATCTCTAGTTAATATATTTATGTCCCTGTAAATGCACCCACACAGCATAGCTAGCTATTTTCCGGCCATTTGCTAGTTCATTCATAATTCTCTGTGCGATAGGGGAACCTGCTGTAAACATTTCTTTTAATAGGCAGTTGTTATAGTTCTGTTTTCCCCCCTTGGTGCTTGAAATCAAATATAATTGTGTGTGTTTAGTGCTGCTGTTCTTAAATCATCTTCTCCAATTTCAGGAAAGGTTTAAAAAACAGTTCTGATTCAAAGAGCAACAGTCAGTGGAAGGACTCCTTTTTCCTTCAAGGAAGATTGGAGGAGCACCCCCTAAGGCTCATTTTTCAAGGTATTCATGTGCCAAGCAGTGGGAGTGAGGTGCCTGAATCCCTTGGAGTGTATGGGCCTGAACATCTAGAGTCATCTATAGTGCTCCCATTTGAAGAAGTATGCTGCCTACACCCCAAAGATATACAAGGAAGATATGGGTGCCTAGCACCACTCAGGATCATCTCTTTACATCCTGCATGAGCTTGATATTCATTAAAATGCATCATTCCTTTGTCATTCTTTCCCATCTGAAGACCTGTGTTGCTTCCGACAGGGCAGTCTGAGTGGCCTCTTGCAGGGGGTAAACCCACCCTGTCTGATGTAAGGGGAAAATATTTGCTACATGGATTTAGAGAGAAGCACGTACTTCCCTGAATAGTTTTCTCTGTTAGTCATTAAGCACACAGGGGCAGCCTGTCCCATAAACGCTGTTCCTGGCTAGGAGGGATAGATCAAACAGGAGACAGCAGTGATTGCTCTGTAATTCATGCAAAGGCGGTAGCCCATGAATCATTGGGCTTCATAAACCTGCAGCTGTTCCCTGCCAGCTCTCTGGAAACAGAGCAGAAGCCCTTCTGTGCGCTGTTATAGCTCCCCTCCTCCAAGAAGCAAAGCTTCCTCCTGCAGGGATGTGTAGAAAGCTCCTAGGTGGCCTTCTACAGGGGCTTCTGTGTAAGAACAGAGGAAAATTTATTTTAGGCCTCACACAGTGGCAGAGGGTTTTGGTGCAGAGGATGTGCCAGAAATCACCTTTCCCCAAGAGTCAGTTGGATGTTAGGATGTCTGTTCCATCCCCCATCCCTTCCTCACAGTGAGATTCTGCCGAGTCTGGCATCTCCCAGGTCTCAGTTAAGAGGTGTAAATCAATATGGAGCCAAGCTGCTTTATACCAAATGGAGTTCTGCACCAGGGTGGACCTATTGAAATGCTGTTGCTGGGTGGCTTTTCCTAATGGTGTAATTTTTCCTGTTCTTCAGTGAATGTCATTAAAAGCCTGGGGGTGGGGGAAGTGAAAGCACCATCATCCAGCTATACTGGGTTAAGTATATATCTGATCCTACTGACCTTATGAGGAATGGATGCATTGTTCAAAATGTAGGGGCGTGAATTAGCCAGTGGAAATAATGCTTTATACCAGCTGAAGATCTGGCCCGTGGCAGTATCCTATGAATAGAGAATGGGAGGCTTTTGCTTGTTTCTCATCACTAGTATTGGAATAGCATTGGGAGGCTCCCACCAAGAATGGAGCTCCATTGTTTGTAGGCCTGGACAAATGCATGCTGAGAGACCTAACTTGTCCCAAGGGGGTTATAGTCTAAACTGATAAGACAAAGAGTGGAAGAGGAAATGGAATAATTAAGCATAACTTTTCCAAGGTCTTATGGAATGGAATGGTCATGTCAGAGGCAAGGAGAGAGAATACCCTCTTCTAATTCCCTTTCAGCACGTTATGTGCTACCCTGTGTTTTCCCCGCTCTCCTACTTGGGCTGATCTCTCCCAGTAATGTCAAGTCCTGAGATAGCCAAGTGACTCTTGGAATGGGAGGGGAATGGTCTGCTTCACTTTCCCTGATTGTTTTAGCATTGATATTCCTGTGTGTAGCCTTACATTACCTGCACTGGTTGGGAACTTCTTGCTCTATCTGTCAGGAATCTTTTACTCCCAAAGCACAGTGTGGGGAAAGGGCACTTGCCCTGTGCCTTGTCCACAGAGCAGATCAGCGCTATTGGTATTAGTTTCCATTCCCTAGGCATTACCCTTGCAGGTCTGGGCTGGGGCATGTGGGTAGGGCAGTGCATAGGAGTTTGTCCCACTGCTGTGCTTGTATGCAAGAACAAAGATGCAGGGGCTGTTCCTTTCTCTGAGCATTAAATTCACAGGGAACCTCTCTGCCACATTATAAACCTGTTCAGAACATATGGCACCACCATCATCCACTCCCCTGTGCTTTTGCTCAACAGCGTAGTAATTAATCTTATTCAGAGCATCAGCAGAGTTGTATGAAAGCCAGGAGCCTCCCAGTTAGTTGCTTTGATAGATATTGTCATCTTGGAGCTATTCCTTTCCCAAGTGAAATGATTCTGTGTGGTGCTGTCGGATCCTAATCTGAAGGAAAACGTCTTCCTGTGAAACGGGGCAGAAGCACAGGCTTGGATGGATCAGCTCTAGGATAGAGCACATTCCCACCCCTGCATTTCCGTGGGTTTGATGTACTGGTTTCTTAAAGCGCTGGCTCAATTTGGGTGTGGAGACAAGCCACTTTGGTTCTCTCTGAAAATAAAATGCAGTTACATATCTGAGGGGGTGACTGCCATTCCTCACCCGCCTTCAGTAGAGAGCCAGTCTGCAGGGACAGTCGAGGGATGCAGAGCCACAGTCAGGACATTGATTAAGTGTCCCATGTGCCAACTGACAGATATGGTGACTGCAGCCAATACCTTGAATGGCAGCCAGTGCAGGGGTCAGGTAGCCCTGCTGGGTCCACCTGGGTTAGGGGGTGATTTCAGTAGTAGCCCTAAGTATAGCATAGCGTACCAGCCTGAGGGTGTGGAGAGGAAAGGCTTTTAGTAGGGGTGCACTGATAAAGATTTCTTGGCTGATACCAATAGCCGATTATTAACCAACCATATCAGCCAATACCGATGTGTGATTAGCCAATATTTAGTAATAATGCAAGGCATTTTAAACTAGTGACCTAAACAAACTTTTTTTTTTCCTGGTGGACTCCAGCAGCCTCTGGCGTCACGTGTATCAGCATTCTGGTGCTTAAAATTGGAAGTGGGGGGTACTTGAAGTAAAGCTCGTTGAATGAGCTTTAGTTCAAGTGCTGCTACCACCATTTTTTAAGCCCAGGGATGCTTTTAAGTGGAGCAGAGCTGAGTGGGAGCAGATGCGGGCTGTCTAATGTGGGCTCATGAATCTCCATCTTGCTGTCTTTGCCCTAGGAGCCCTGTGCTAGCCATGTGCCCCCTGACCACCTGGCAGTGGGGGGCACAACTCGCCCCTCCCACTGATGATAGGTGTGGGCAGGGGGCGCACAGCTGGTGCAGGGCTCCCGAGGGAAAGACAGCAGAGCAGAAAGCTCTGAGTCCACAACAAGCAGTCGGCATCAATCCTGTGCACAAATCTGTGAGGGCACATGCCCCCTGCAGTGCCTCCTTTTGAGGGTACATGCAGCAGTTGGGGAGCTGCCCCCCCCCTTCCTCCATGGACACGCCACCCATGGCTCTGTACTACTCCCTGCCATGGCCCTGGGTCCCATAAACCACCCTGACTGGGAAGCACCCCAGAC